AGTTTTGGTCAGATTGTTACAGTCCCTGAAACGTTCTACTTTCCCACTTGAACGGTGAGCGAACGCTGAACGAACGCAGAGCGAACGGTGAGTGAACGATGTGTGAACGCTGAACGCAACTTGGTGAACGGTATGTGAACGCTGAACGGTGAGCGAACGCAGAACGCGAACGGATCGCGAACGCGAACCCAAAGTGAACGGTGAACGCAAGATGAACGATTTATTCGGAATGCCTCTGATCTTTTCCATGCATTGTATCTATTCTATTGTATTCTAATGTAAGGCGGAAAATAAATAAATATTCTAATATTGTCCTAAAAAAGACGAAACATGCACATGTAGTAAAACTATTAATTAAGTTTCTTACAATATTTTCTGCACATATGTATGATGTTTAAATTCAGCTGTTTAATCACACGATTTTTATCGCTGTAAAACATTGTCATTGTTACCGAACACTGTAGTTTAAAAGATAGAATTATTTCTAGTTGTAAAATAGATATGTTTATTCTTATTTGATATATAAAACCATTACAAATAATGATTTTCGAAGAGTACATTACTGACTTATAGAATGAATTACAACGGTTGTAACAACCATACATGTATTTCCGTATCAAGGCAATTCCGTGTAAAATAATGAGAAAAAAAAAAAATATTTTGCTAGTTTGTGGACGTATTGCATGTATACACTCGTATTTAAAAAAATTTAGTGCATTAATATATTTATATGTGTCTTTTCATTTTTTAAATGATGAATTATTCAGCAGACTTCTACATGTATCTATATGGACAATTCCCCGTGATTATACTCGGACAAGGTGATACAAAGAAGCATTCATATTATTTGTTACAGATTAAAATTTCAGAACTTGGTATTTAAATAATACGTGTCATAGTTTTGATTAAACGGACAAATGAGAGAGAGAGAGAGAGAGATTCCGTTTTAGCCCCCTTTCCACAAATACATGTACATGTACCTGTATAAACAAAAATTCTTAATTTTTATTTAAATATATCAGGCAGTGAAAGTAACCTTTTTTATTTATCAACAGATTCACTTTGTTTGACAGTCATAATTGTTTTTTATTTCCCTGCTTCAAGTTCACACGAAGTCTACGTGCTCTTCCTGTCAATCAAAATCATTCGACACTGGGCAGGTGTGAATGTTTCGTCACACCAAACGCGAAGTGCTACATTGTAGTATTTTCAAGAAGTTTTACATGTTTTATCATTTCTAGATCTGATTCCAATTTTCCAATAAATAAATAAATAAAATACATTGGGCATAAACACTTCGAATGAATCTGAAACATAATCCCTGGCCAATTTAAAGTACCACCGTCGTCGGCGCGTGTATATTTTGAACTACTAAATATTGTTTAATGACCTTTTTAGATGCATGTTTGTTCTACAAAACGCTTTAACTCTTTTTTAAATATTAATTTAAAATATACTGGAAATACTGACTAAGTAACCGATCTACGTGGGAAAAAAAGGGGGGGGTCTTAATCATATTGGATGGCAAACATAAAGTTATTGTGAAGAAAGGAATTATTTCTCTCTAACAGTAGAATTTATATATGAATTGTAGTATATTACATTTAAATAAATATTTTTAACCACACTCAATTTAATTCGCTCCAAAGATATTTAATTAACTGGATATCCGCAGTACTATTTATAATTCTTAGAACTAGTTCTAATAATGTATTTCTATACATGTAATAATCGAAAAAAAAACGTGTTAGTAATAAATACTTTCTAATTTTCCTGCAGTTGCTAAATTAATTGACATGGATTTTTATCTCTCCATCAACGACATGTCGTCTTTAACATAACAACAAAATGTTGCAGTGTTTGAAGTACCTGTATATTGCCCGTATTTAAATTTAATTTTTCAACATCGTTCTACATAGGTACATACTTATAACAGCATTTATTTTCCAGAGTAATTTAAATAATAACCTAATAGCTAAGTTAGAATAATAATAAAACATATTGTAGATAATTTATTCCAATAAAATAATGATCCTTTAAACACGATGTGAATTACTAAATTTCAAATCCCGTAAATCCTTACTTACAAAAAAGATAAGTCTTTTCACTTCGGAGTTCCGAATGACAGTGAAGACTGAACGATAAGTGAACGCTGAACGCAAAGTGAACGAACGGAGAGCGATATATGGTTACGTCTCTATAGAAGTGTAAACTTTTCGAACGGGACGTAAGACAATACACAACCAAACAATGAAATCTCGTCAGAGACTTCCGCTTTATTTCTAAAGACTAAGATTAGTTTCAAACAAACAATTGGTGAATTGATAATTCAGATTTGTTGAAATGAAGGTCCCTCGAAAAAGGGTAGACCATCAAGTAAAGGCAAACATTTGGTAGGGTCACGTAAAAACCTTCTTTTCCTCTAAAGCCACTAAGCCAGAAAAGGTGAAACATTTGAAAGCTTCCTGGCATATATTTCAAATTTTAATTTGTCCAAATCAAGCCTGTGGGGTATTTGGGGCCACAATAGGAATTCAAGTTTAACAAGGGATTATAGAGATCAATCTAAAGAACAGCAAGGCCATTTAGAATCATCTTCGTGTAGTGTACATTCCATTTTTAGGTAACAGAGTCGCTCAAGTGACCTTTTGATATCTGTTTTTGTTTGTCGCCGTGCGTTATCATTTGAACATTTCCAACTTCTTCTCTGGAGCCCATGAATCAATTTCAACCAATTTTGGGATATACTTGTATAGCATCCGTGGTAAAAGAAGAGCAAATGTTATAATAATGAATTTTATGGTCTTTGCCCCCTTTCCCCGGGGGAGGGGAGTTATGAGGTGTGAGGCCAAAAACTAAAATTAGTGCAATTAAAAAAATCTTCTTTACTTCTGGACGTCAATCAGTCTAACTGTTGGCATTATTTAATAAGCACTGAGCCCTCAGTTAAAATTTTGAAATACATGGTACCGGGTCAAGCATTTGCGTCTTACGCTGGGGCTCTAAAGATCATATAGTGAAAAAGCATTCTTTAGACATGTTCTTTTCTCTCCCTGTATTCTTAGCAGACAAACTATTTGCATAGAATATATCGTCCGTAGATATGATCAGCAAAAGTGCCTCTTCCAAAATTGTGAAATTCATTGCCCCATACTGGTCAGGTCATACCAACTACAACTGAATATTTTAAACTCGATTACTTGTTCGAAATTTGCTATTTAAGAGTAATTCTAAAATCAAGTTAATAGAGAGAATTTTTTCTTCAGATGGTACATGGGTGTCAAAGCTGACACCCTCAACTAACTTGGATTTATTTTGTTTTTTTTTTAACAAAAATAATTACATACTTAAAAATTACTTGATTGCAGTGCAGTCATCTTCAATATCGGATTAAAATGTTCTGTAAATGATAGTAAATTACGAAATGAAAGTAGCTTGGTGCATTGATTTTCTGTATCCAGGTTTTCATTAAATCATGTTAGGCGTAAATTAATTTTTTTTTTTTTTTTTTGAGAATTCTCTGAGAGCATTTCCTGAGAGTCTTCGTGTAAAAGTCAAATGTAAAGATCTGTTAATACTCTTAAGGGGCTATTAATATCAGTATTACAGCCAGAATATAATTACAAAAGGAATATATAACATGCCTAATAGCAAGATTTCAGCCAGTGATCTCCATATCTATATTAGTTTATTAAAAGTTTCTCTTTCCTTTTACTGTAAACAGCGTGGAAACCGTAATCGTACGGGCTGATCCTTTCTTAATGTTTGAATTATCCGACGGTCCCTAATAAAGTTTTTAGCTTTGTCTCATCTAATTAAGACATTTTTCTTTCCTATCTGTAGCAAAATTAATGGTGCAGAGTTTAGCCTTGTGAGGTTGGATTACATCGTCTTCGAGAAAACAATTGAATATCTCTTAGATCTCATGTTTGCTTGAAATAACTTCTCCGAATAGTTAATCTCCGATGCATCTCTTGTCTTTGTAAGCAGTGCGACAGATAAGGTAGTAAGGTCCACAAGAATTAATCAAGGTTGCTTGACCGAGTTATGGATTTTTCAGGCTAGGATTTATGTTGTTATTTTTAGACTGTGGCTTAGAATTAAGGTAAACAACGTCGTCTTGGCAGGTACGAATTGAACACAAACAGCGTCCAGTATTCTGTTTAAAAAAATATCAATCTGAAATTATACATCTGAAATTATACATATGTACGTTGTCAAATAACATTCCTTGAACTTTAGTGCAAGGTGAAGAGAAGGCACGCTTTCATTGGACGTATAAATTCCTTTCAGTGACATTGAAACATTGAGATGAAGTTCAAAGTTAGAAAATGAACTACTTCTGACCCTAACACTCCATCTTCAGGGGTGTCGTGATAAATAATCTTGAGAAATGATTTGTAAAAAAAAAAAAAAAAAAAAAAAAAAAAAAAAAATAAACAGTTTGTTGGGATTTTTCTTCTTCCAAATCTGCAGGAAGTCCTTGTGATATATAAAAATAAGATCATACTATTATTCCAGACTTTCGATATTTTTAATATTTTAAAAACCCCTTAGATTTATTAAATCAATTTATTTTAAGGAAAAACTTCGTCAATTTCGGGTAAAATATTCATGTGACAAGTATAAAGTATTTTGGAATATTTGTCAGATTACCCTTTTGCATAGCTTGACGTTTTTCAAAATATTTTTTTGTTCCGCGAAGTCCCAGCTTAAGTTTGCTGCTGTAAGTCTAAGAATTAGCGCGTTTGACTAGATTAATGATGGTTAAGAATCTAAAAAAAGAACTTAAAATTGTTTGTTGTGCTTCTCCCCTGATTGGGGAATAGAAAAAGGTTTCAAGATTTGTATACTGAAAGAAAAACATAGTGTCACTGTGATACAATGATAGTGCAGCGAAACCTTACATTATATACATGTACATCTTAATTACAATAAGAAATCATTAGAACCCAATTCATTCGATTTAACTAAAGTATTTTTTTTTCATTGTTTTGTAGGACAATGAGAAAGTGTTAAAAATAACTGAACCGAGAGAGAAAAAAAAACATGTCTTGGAAGAGTTCTTCTATTGTAAGCTATCCCGATTCGGACGATGATAATGATCCCTTGCATTACATCAAGAAGTCACGACCAAAACAGGAAAATGTTCAGTATAATCCAGTGTACAAAAACAAAACTGGAAAGACTTCAGGACATCCAAGAGATCCCAGGCTGGAAAATAGAAACAGAGATCCTCGCTTGCAGCCCAGAAATAATGAAACAAGGGACCCTAGACATCAATCGAATAATGTGGAAAATCGAGATCCACGGCATACAGCAAAAAATGAAGTGGAAAATATTCATTATGCACCTGTTTATAATCGAAAAGTAAGGGACATCGAGAGGGAATATGAAAACGCATCGCGTTCGAATTCATACGAAAGTGCTGGGGCAAGATGGAAACAGTACAAGTCCGAGAAAGCCGCAGAGATATCAAGGCCAGATAAATACCAGAGTGCGGAATCTGGCTGGAAGAAGTTAAAATCCGAAAACAAATGGGACACCTCCAACTGGACAAATGCAAGCGATTCTTCTGACGACGATGGTGATAATTATAATAGAAAAACGCCTAAATCCAAAATTGATATATTTGCGAATTCGGAGGAAGAAACCTATAAAGAAGAAAAATCTAATGAACAGGGATTCTGGTGGAAATACAAAGACGATGAACCTCTACCCGATTCTCTGATTTTGGAAAGCGCTTCAAAATCTGAAGAGAAAAATGATGATCTTTTTGATGATATTTTGAGTGGTAATCTTGTTGAAAGTAATAAAGGCAATGAAAAAGATGAATTTAACGACGATTTCCTGTACGATGACGTTTTAATGCAATCTAGGAAAGTTCTAGAAGAGGGGAAAGCTTTTCTAGGTGAATCTGTCTCTGAAACGCAAGACGAACGAAGCGACCAACATAAATTCATGTATGAAACCGAGAGAAGTTTTATGAATGACTCATCATCGTTGCAATTCAAACCAGTGGATAACGTTGAGACACAAAATCGATATAATGTGGGCGATCTGTATCGCGAGCAAGTTGATGTGAATGATAGAAAATATGATGACTTGTATAAAGAGGTAGATGATGATAATGACACGTGGTCAAGATCAGTCACAGTGGAGAAGAAAGAGGTTTCTAACTGGTCTGATGAAAGTCTTTCTCCTATTCGCCGCCAGGAACCAAGTCCAGATAGAAATGTTGAGGTTAATCTAGTCAAGAAGAGAAGTCCTAGAAGATCTAGAGATGACTCTCCGTCTTATGAAAGATCCAGAGAAAACAGAGAGGAAGATACTCTTTCTCCATATGATAATGGTGAATATAGAGATAACAGAAAGATGGACTCTATTTCATCCTCTTACCCTAATCAGAACAGAAAGGATGATAATATTTCTTCGTATACAAATCGTTCTCCACCAAGCCGATCTCCATCTCGGCGAGATCATCCTCAAAAGCCTCCAGTTAATCAATCAGCTCAACCAATTATTGGGAATCCTTACGAAAATCCAAAACTGAATGTTGATAATATCGATCTGTATTTCAATGATTTGATGGAATGGAATTACAGTCATCGCTGCCTCATCTGTGACAAAACATTTGATAATTTAACTAAGTGGACAGAACATATCCTTGATACTAAGCATGGTAGAGAGTTTCATCTTGATCCTTACAGGTGCCCACCTTGTCACGAAATGTTCCGAAATAAGCAGGAGTGGAAAATGCATATGGCGTATGCACCTTCTCATGGTTTTATGGGAAGCATCAATGTACCGAAGACATACACAGTTTTACCGCCCTCGCCAGCCTTTCCTGTGCAACACGGCTGGAGATGCAAGAGCTGTTATATTATATCACAGACAGATGATGACGCCTTACGTCACATAAAGTATGTTCATCTCATTCATACCGCCCTGTATCCATGTCCACTATGCGGTGAACCTTTTTGGCATCAACGGGATCTTGATCGTCACGCTGATGATGTACATGCTCCACCTAAATATCAGTGTGATATTTGTCAACGGGCCTTTGAATCGGGTGAAAAGCTTCAAACTCATCGCTTGATAAAACACTCCAAGAAAATTACGTGCTATAAATGTGAGAAACAGATTGATGAACTTATTTTTAAGGAACATTGTGAAATGCATAAGCTTGAAATGCGTAAATGTGACTACTGTGGAGATGTATTTAAAGACAGTTATCACTTGGAAAAGCACGTCAGACATGATCATAAGAAACACCGCCGCCGTCATCGTTCTTCTTCAAGATCCCCAGATCGTCGATCATCTCGACGACGATCTCGTAGAAGTAGGTCAAGGTCGAAAAGAAGCTCATCGAAGTCTCGGAGGAGTTCAACAAAAGACGAGCAAGGTAAAATAGAACCGAAGACACGTCGAAGCAGTTCTCCTACCAATCAGGAACCTTCAAAGCAAAAAACCAAGGAAAGTAAAAGATCCATGTCTCAGGATGAATCAAGCATTCCATCAAGCAGCTGCGCTACTCCCACTAGGGATGAAGAAGAGGACATATTTCCTCCTGGGGATGAAAATTACAGACACTCCTCACCAAATCGGAATCAGGAAACCATGGAAGTTGCTCCAGCAGAAGAGGAAGACAGTCGTCAAAGTCGCGAATGTTCTACCACACGATCTCCACTTGGAAGGCGCGATTCCTTAGAGGATGATCGTTGTTCAAGGGGAAGTGACAAGTCACGTGATTATCGACGAACTCGTTCAACATCACAGAGTTCCATAGACCGTCGGTCATCTCGTCACAAGAGAAGTAGATCTCGTGATGATAATTCATCTCGACGGTACTCAAGCAGGAAAAGAAGTCGAAGTCAATCGCGATCCCGATCCCGATCTAGAGATAGAGGATACAGCAGTAGTAAGGGGTCGAAATATGATGAAGACGACCGTAGTAATGACAGACATCTTGAGGATCGTGTTTATAAAGAATATGATGAAAGATCAAATGATGCGAGAAAGCGCTTCATCTCTGAAACACTTAATGATAGCTCGTCCAATGCATTCATAGATGATTCAATTCATGATGATGATGGTGGTGGTCAAGAGGAAGAAACCGAATGGGAAAGGAGGATCAGTATGAAAATGATTGTCAAGGACGAAATCTGGGATAAGGAGGAAGATGAAAAGGCTAATAGTGCACCAGCCAAGATGGCTCCTAAGGACCTTCCAATATTTGACATCCCTGTGGAAGAGGATATTGAAAAGTCTTCATCTGAAAAACCGATAGAAAACGCAACATGGGTTGTTGAAAAGCCTCTTGGTGAAAATAAAGATTCGAAGAATGGCAATGAAAGTGACAACGATGAGGATAAGAAACAATTTGTTTGTAAAGAATGTGGAAAGTCATTAGGATCATTAATGCAGTTACGCGATCACTTTACTGTGAAGCATAAGAAAGGTTTTAACTTGCGAAACAAGAGACCCTCTAGTGCTGACGTGAAGAAAAGTCAGCCCATTGTAGCAAAGGAGCCGAAATTGTCGGAAGAGCAAAAGGAAATTGCCAAACTAATTGAGGGCATCGAATAATTATTTCATCTTTGTTGTTTACTTCTGTACATGTACATACATGTAGGAAATTAATTTGGAATGAAATTTAATTTGAGTCTTTTTATGTTTTTGAAGCCTTCCACTGGAAACACAATTAAACTGTAATGAGTATGTGTGATCAAAAAGGACTTAGCAATTGCATATGTATCAGGCCCTCAAATGTGTAATCGTCTTAAAATCAATTTAAAATACTTCAATCATGTTGTTCTGTGTAAAATGTTATTACTAAAGTTTTATAAGTATAATAATTATACTGCAAAGGAAGAAATGTGAAGGACATGCCTTTTTTGTAATTTTAATTTGGTCTGCTTTTGTATTTGAAAAATAATTTCATCAAATTGTTGCCTTCCCTTTGTTTTTGTTTGTTTGCATCACGTGATACTGACAATAACATTTTTTTGTTTTACAGAATTACATTTTTGCAATTGCTCATGTACATAGAAAACCCATTGTAGCTTTTAGATTCTGCGAAATGATGTAAATGACATTTTATTGTGTTATTTGTTGCAGCCAAAATTTATGTCAAACTTGGTCCTGTATCCTGTGTAGCAAAACTAAGTCATTTCGATGAAGTATTTGTTAAAAAATAAAAACATCAAATAACCTGTTTGGAAACTTATACAAAAAATTGAAATTGAATGAACATCTTTTGGAACAAGTTTCAGACGAGCTTTGCGATGCATGAATTACTAGTAATATGGGCATCTTAAAGGGACATGGACACATTTGCATTGCATTTTGTTTACACTTTTTTAAATTTGAAAAAAAAAGCTTCAGTTTGATGACTTGACCTTTTATGAAAAACCTTAATGCTCAATGACAATAGCATTTTTAAAAACCATACATTAATGCCTCTGTTTGTAAACACTGTTGTTACAAGTACATGTATTGTTAATGTTTACCTGATGTGTTCGATTTCCTGACATTGTTTACATCACTGACCATATTCTTTTGATTTTGGTTTCTCGCAATTTTTTTTTACTTTTCTTGATTAAAGTTTTAATATCTTTTATTAATACACTTCACATTTCCCACTTTTCTTGAATATTATAGATATATTTTATTTAAAACATTTGTCTGAAACCCTCTCGCGATGTTTAAGTCCAGAAATTCTACCATACATTTATTATTCGATTATCTGGAAGATTCTAAACTTCAAATCTTTGTCCATGCCCCTTTAATTTGATTTTAAAAAGGAGATTTTTAAACTAATTAATACAGTTATTACAACGTGATTGCTAATCGGTTAACCATTTAGGGAGTCCTATTTTGGATAAATATATCATTCAGAATCTACTGGACAAGTTTAGAAAGTTTCCTCTGTATGCACATTGATTCTCCTTAATCAGAAGAAACTGATTTCAGTTAGTTATTGTATAAATATCTCGGGGGCATTACGAATAAAGAAATAATTGTATTTCACACACATGTATCGTTTTATAATTTTGATTTCCAACTTTTTTATTTTGCTTCTCTACTCGATTAAATGTATAGAAGTCAAATACTTCTTACACAAGTATGAGAAATTAAATCCTTTCTAATGTGTTTCGATTTTTGTCATTGGAGAAGACCTAGACTTTTTGTTTTGTTTTTGTTTTCGCGTCTGTTGTTTGGTCACCTGAGACACTCGGGTGACATATTGCTATCTGTTTTTCTTATTTCCGTCGTTCGTTTGTCGTGCGTTAAATTAGCCATCTGTTTACTTTACAATGAGTTGCAATGCATTATGGGCTACTACATGTATCAATACGAACTCAGTTATGTTGAAAATAAAGAGAAAATGTATAACGTATAAGTCCCTTGGACATTCATTTTCAATTCTTTTTAGCTCACCTGAGCCGAAGGCTCAAGTGAGCTTTTCTGATCACATTTTGTCCGTCGTCCGTCTGTCCGTCTGTCTGTCTGTCCGTCCGTCTGTAAACTTTTCACATTTTTGACTTCTTCTCAAGAACCACTGGGCCAATTTTGACCAAACTTGGTACAAAGTATCCTTGGGTGAAGGGGAATTTAAATTGTTAAAATGAAGGGCCAAGTCCCCTCACAAGGGGAGATAATCAAGAGAAGACAAAAATAGGGTGGGGTCATTAAAAAATCTTCTTCTCAAGAACCACATGGCCAGTAAAGCTGAAACTTATATGGAAGCATCCTGGGGTAGTGTAGATTCTAAATTGTTCAAATCATGACCCCCGGGGGTAGGGCGGGGCCACAATGTGGAATCAATGTTTTACATAGAAATATATAGGAAAAATCTTTAAAAATCTTCTTCTCAAGAACCACTGAGCCAGAAAAGCTGAAACTTATGTGGAAGCATCCTGGGGTAGTGTAAATTCTAAATTGTAAAAATCATGACCCCCGGGGGTAGGGCGGGGCCACAAAAGGGAATCCAAGTTTTACATTGAAATATATAGGAAAAATCTTTAAAAATCTTCTTCTCAAGAACCACTGAGCCAGAAAAGCTGAAACTTATGTGGAAGCATCCTGGGATAGTGTAGATTCTAAATTGTTCAAATCATGACCCCCGGGGATAGGGCGGGGCCACAATAGGGAATACAAGTTTTACATTGAAATATATAGGAAAAATCTTTAAAAATCTTCTTCTCAAGAACCACTGAGCCAGAAAAGCTGAAACTTATGTGGAAGCATCCTGGGGTAGTGTAGATTCTAAATTGTTCAAATCATGACCCCCGGGGATAGGGCGGGGCCACAATAGGGAATCCAAGTTTTACATTGAAATATATAGGAAAAATCTTTAAAAATCTTCTTCTCAAGAACCACAGAGCCAGAAAAGCTGAAACTTATGTGGAAGCATCCTGGGATAGTGTAGATTCTAAATTGTTCAAATCAGGACCCCCGGGGGTAGGGCAGGGCCACAATAGGGAATACAAGTTTTGCATTGAAATATATAGGAAAAATCTTTAAAAATCTTCTTCTCAAGAACCACAGAGCCAGAAAAGCCGAAACTTATGTGGAAGCATCCTGAGGTAGTGTAGATTCTAAATTGTTCAAATCATGACCCCCGGGGGTAGGGCGGGGCCACACAATAGGGAATCCAATTTTTACATTGAAATATATAGGAAAAATCTTTAAAAATCTTCTACTCAAGAACCACTGAGCCAGAAAAGCTGAAACTTATGTGGAAGCATCCTGGGATAGTGTAGATTCTAAATTGTTCAAATCATGACCCCCGGGGGTAGGGCAGGGCCACAATAGAGAATACAAGTTTTGCATTGAAATATATAGGAAAAATCTTTAAAAATCTTCTTCTCAAGAACCACTGAGCCAGAAAAGCTGAAACTTATGTGGAAGCATCCTGGGATAGTGTAGATTCTAAATTGTTCAAATCAGGACCCCCGGGGGTAGGGCAGGGCCACAATAGGGAATACAAGTTTTGCATTGAAATATATAGGAAAAATCTTTAAAAATCTTCTTCTCAAGAACCACTGAGCCAGAAAAGCTGAAACTTATGTGGAAGCATCCTGGGATAGTGTAGATTCTAAATTGTTCAAATCATGACCCCCGGGGATAGGGTGGGGCCACAATAGGGAATACAAGTTTTGCATTGAAATATATAGGAAAAATCTTTAAAAATCTTCTTCTCAAGAACCACTGAGCCAGAAAAGCTGAAACTTATGTGGAAGCATCCTGGGATAGTGTAGATTCTAAATTGTTCAAATCATGACCCGGGGGTAGGGCGGGGCCACAATAGGGAAACATTGAAATATATAGGAAAAATCTCTAAAAATCTTCTCAAGAACCACTGGACCAGAAAAACTGAAACTTATGTGGAAGCATCCTGGGGTAGTGTAGATTCTAAATTGTTCAAATCATGACCCCCGGGGGTAGGGCGGGGCCACAATAGGTATTACAAGGGGGGAAGTCTGGTAATGAACAGCATGGCCAAAGTTACTCAGGTGAGCGATGTGGCCCTTGGGCCTCTTGTTTGATACTTATAAAAGAAATATTGAAAATGAACATGTATAATCTTTTATTTCTCACATTTACAAAATTTACTTCATGAAACCTTATATCAACTTGTGTTTCATCGGCATAAACTATTGTTTGAGAAGTGACGTAGGTGCTATTTTCTTTCAGGTGATATACATGTACAAAGTTTTTGACAACAGTACATGGTGCGCAATTATTATTTAACTCTTCAATATCATCGAAATGTTTTTATGCACATGCAAACGTCAAAGCATTTGTACGGTATTTGAAGCAATTATTAATCATCGAAAACAACCAATATTAAATGTGAGCATGGAACAGTGTCCTTGGAATTTCAGCCTTATAAAGTAAAAATGACGCTGTACGGTTTTTCCGTTGACCAAGTAAATATTATGCAATAATCCGACGAAAACCACATGTCGCTGTTGAATCGTAGACCGTCATTTAATCGATTGGAGAACGGGTTTGACGAAAACCTCGTCACTTGTTGAAAAGTGCCTTCCATAAAAGGTATACAATATACATTTATTGACTGGGTTCGAGGGCAACATGCGTTTTGTCGGACCCGAGAACCAAACTGTTGACGGCCGAAGGCAAACAGTTTGGTTCGAGGGGTCGACAAAACGCATTTTGCCCGAGCTGAGAACACAGTCAATAAATGTTTTGTTATACATTTTACTTTGTATTTTGACATTACATGATTTATGCATAAAAATATAAAATGTCATGTTATCATGACATATATAACAATGATGTAAATTTTGTTTACCCGCACTGCGGTTTAAACTTGGTCAATTCCGTAAAGTTGTGTCGAACTCCCACGAATGCAAATAAGATACAGCTGACCCCGCCCACACTGTGACGTAAGCGGTCCAACATCTCATCGACAGGTCCAATATCTCGCTCTGCGGTCAAAAATCGATTTTTTTTATGACCGCTCAGTAAAACATTGGAAATGTTAGACTTTTTTAGTATACACTGTAGGATTATACATATAGGAAACAATTTTCAAAGGTATAACAGTGTACCCGACCTGTTCAAGGTCGACAACTAGACAAGCGCTATAAATTGTAAACCTTGGTACTCGTAATAATTATAATCAGTCAACTGTGTTAAACTCGTTACCAATGGTTTTATCCTATCGACTTCAATAATGGCTTCATTTCTAAGAAAGTAACACTGCTTCGACTGAGTATTCCGGCCTCTGGGCCTTTTGTTTATATCCTATCAATGGTGTAAATTTTGAATTCACTAGGCATGCTTGGTGGAGGTTAATGCAAAATTTACAACATGTAAATTTTGTATTTACCTCCACCTAGTAAATTAAAAAATCCTGATATGAAACTCAATTTCATGTACAGTAAAACCAGTCTGATCCGACATGAAAACAGTACATTGAAATATTTATGTAAATTTGGTTTATGAAGGAAGAAGTGAATGTATAACATGTATTTTACAATAAAATTAAAGTTTATGGGTGTTATTATGCTGAAGTTGATATACAGGATTGAAGTATACAGAGATCGAAAGGAAAAAAAATCAATTATCCGTGTGATGGGATGTACATGTAAAACGTATTGACATTAATATGAGTATGCTGCTCAGAAAAAAGGGATGTTTCTCTAAATATATCTGTCGAAAAGGACACACATCAACACAATGTTTTAATTAATTTGGCATAAATAATTATCAAGGCGTTGGAAATGCGCTGGAAAGTTTTTGCCAGTTTATAACAGGCATTAAGTGAGTGCATTGACTGGTAGTTTTGTTCAAATCTTTCGATGATACTCCATGAGCGACTTATAAAAATCCAACAATATGAGAAATATATGACTAAAATTTGTTCAGACTATATACAAAAAGCGACATATCAACACATTCAAACACGCAAAGGATTCTTAAAGGAAGAATAATATTCCGTTCACAACTTTTGCATAAACAGCAGCAAAATCATTGTCAAATAACACAAAGATGCAGGGGCGGATCCAATATTACACAAATCACGATCATTGCAGCAACTGCGCAAAGAACATCCCTGAAACATATATTTGCGCATGTTACCAAGGCATTGTTCATAATCGTCCTCTGTTACATACGGGCACTTGTAAGGCGAACACGTTCGAATCACCGAATCAAAATGCGTATTGGAGTCGTTGTGAAACATCTGATAACGCACTTTCTGTAAAATAAAGATAAATAAAGTTTCAATTGAAAAAATGACCTTAACCACTCTCTTTTCTCATTCTGCTTGATAAAAATAAAAGTGACCTAGATCTCTAACAATGGCCCCGTATGAAATCACACACCAGTAATAATACCAATGTTTTGGTACTTCCGTTCATTTGCCTAAGTGGTTGTAATTATACATTGTAAAACTCACATATAGCTTTCCGGTGTCGAGACTTCTCGTGATTTTCTGCGCTGAACAATTTGAGGCGACATGATCGATTTCGTTCAATTGATATTTTTACAACACTTTTAGATATTGCAACAGTACTCAAGTTATGTTTGGTCAAAATGTGGTGATTATTTTATCCATACTAGAAATCTGTG